GATCTAGTGGTGTCTGAATATATCTGTGATACATACTGACATTCTCTGTGTTTGTTAGTTCTTCGTCTTGTGGCTTGAAAGCATCGGCGTTATCTACCCTTTCGGCGTAATTAACTTTAATACAGGCAATGTAGCCTTCGGCATAACCGACTTCGGCTTTAAAGTTCTCATCTGTCATTAACAAGTTCTTAAGTCTATAGAATGTTTTTGTTTGCTTCCTTTCATCTCTAAAAAATACGCTTGCCTACCAGTTGCTCAACCCACGGCGTTGTATCCACATTAGCAGTGAGATGGTTCACGTATACTGGGACATATTCCCTACCCCTACTATCTCTAAAGGACGTCTTTAATACACCTTTGTCGTCTTCTACCTTCAGTCTATACAAATGAACATTTATTGAATATCTTTTTGGTTTTCTCGGGTTGGTTCTTCCTGTTCTTTTGTTGTCTTCTTTTGCTTGTGTCATTCTCTGACCTAGTTGTTCTTTATCCTTATGTTTGTCATAAATCTTGTTGTATTCTTTTTCTGCTTTGTTTTTTTCCTTGTCTGTTTTTGCTGTGATGAGTTTCCCAATTAAATTGTCTGCTGTGGTGAATTGGGCGATCTTACGATCTGAGTATAGATTAATTATATTTTGCACTTTTGTTCTGGTGGCTTGGGGGATGCGGTTTCGCTTGTTGTTATAAAATGTTTGTAGTGCTTCCGTATTACGCTTAATGGCTTTGGACATATACTAATATAATTAAACTATATATTTTTTCTTTAAACATTTTTTGTCTTAGGATGCCGTTTTAATTCCTAAGTAATTATTACACTAATGAAAAAACAGTTTAAAGAAATAATTTATATATAGTATAATATAATATGAATAAAAATCCCGAGGATATGACAATGGAGGAGATATTAGAGCAACTCGCGATATACAACAGGCTTTATTACAAGAAACGACGAGAAGATGAAGCTTATATGCAAAAGAAACGAGACGCAACTCAAAGGTATTTACAAAAAAAGAAGACTCGTGAATATGAAGAATAGCACGATATCAAATTAAACCAAGAAGAAATATCCGATGAATTGCTAACAGATATCATGACGTCTAGAAAGGCAATGATGCCAAGGCGTGCCACACAAAAATATGACATGAGCAACTTTAAGATCATAACCCCTAACGCCGAATGATGATTTAATTTAATTATTAAATCATTATTTTCTTTTGTTTTTATATGAGTGAGAAACAAAAAATTATTTATTAATGATGTATATTTTGATCGCGCGGGGTTTGGATCAAAAAGCCGGACTTTAGAAGAAGCACGGGAGAAAGATAAAACCATCACAATGTCCGATATCAATGAGTTTTTTAGGAAGAAGGTTGATCAAAAACGAAAGCCCGTCGGTTCAAATAGCTTTGTCACCCCCCATTCTGCATATGAGTATCAGATGGACTTATTCTTTATTAATGATTTGAAGGATCAGAAATTTAGAGTAGGGATGTTAATGATTGATATATTTGATAAGTTCATGCACGTGGTGGCTTTTAAAGGTAAGAAAGAGGAAGATTTAGCTAGTGGGATGATTGAATGCTTGCATAAGATGGGGAAGAAACCAAAACTAATTTATACAGACGATGAAGGAGCAATGAACAAAGAGGCAATACAAAAGTATCTACTAAACGAAATCGGGTATATTCTGAACTAGATGTCGGAGATGAAGTTAAAATATTTAGGAAAAGGAAACCCAATGAAAAAGAACGTGCTTCAAATTGGTCGCAAAGCATTTACACAATAGAAAGAATTAATGAAACAATGGGTCAAAAATATTATCATGTTGAAGGAAACGATAGAGCGTATTTGCGCTTTGAGTTGTTGAAAGTTTAATTTTTCTTTTGAAAAGAATTTTATTAAGAAAACACTTAAAGAAATAACACCTATATATATATATATTAACAGGGAAATGTTCACTCAGAAAGAACAGGATGAAATCATAAATGCTTTTTTGGATGTTGTCAAGGTTAGCGATTACATCAGGGAAAGTAAGAAAAAACGGGATAGTTGTAAATGTAAGGATTGCAAGAAACATGATAGTTATTGCACTTTATACGAGTTGCCACTGCCAGAAAATATTATTAACAATATCTATGACTTTACTAATCGGTGTTGGACATATGAGAAGACTATAGAAAAAGAGGAAGAATTAGAAGAACGGCTTGAAACGAATGATTTGTGCTTATATGATGTTGATAAGCTTATTTTAAACTTGGATCCGTTTGTTCCAACTTTATGATTCAGTCAAACACGTGATCACAAACATAACTATGAAGAGATACAACATGTTTAAGAAATTGTTTAATGAAATGATGTATTGTAGAGACAAAGAAGAAATAAAAACGTGGATGCAATACAAAATGAAATACACTGTTAATGCTACAACATATGATTTCAACAAAATCGTTAGAACGCTATTGAATAAACCTGAGTTTGACTTAATGGGTTAAACAAACATAACATTATTAATATTATAATGTTATGGTTGGTGGTCACCCTAAACCCCCATCATTCAGCGGCTTGAATTTGATTTTGATTTTAAAGTTTTTGTTTGTTGCTTGTTTCCGCGCAGGTTTTTCGATGCTTTTGTGAGGAAAAGTGAAAAGTCAACGTCACGCCGATGTGTCCTTGAGGTCG